AATCCTCTATTAAAATCTCTTCTCATACAATAAATTAAATTGGAAAACAATCGATAATTCAGTTCGTTTAATTTGACGAGATTTTTGCAAATAGTACAGGATCGATGAGATAGAAACGGTGTCATATCGTTGTGGCTCAGAATAACTGTGGACCGTAAAATAATGAACAGAAGTTGGCAATGTTGGAATGTTTTGTGAATTTTCTCCGTTCGCTTTTATTTCTCGGGGTTCGTTTTGTGCAAGATCAGTGATTTGAAGAGTGATCAGTACAGTGTAATGGGGGGACATAATAATAATAGTAAATAATATTTGTGTGATAGTGAAACGAATAGTAACTCACAAATATTCAAATGGAACTATTATTTTCTAGTTTGTCAATATCCGGATTATCGAATGAATTTGGTAAATCAAAAATTTCTAATGATTTAGTATGATTTTTTTCGGCAGTAAATTATAGTATTAGATTTGTGCTATTAAATTCATTTTCTAGTAGAAACTACGAATGTTGAATGAGAGCGATCTTTAGGTTGCCAAGTTTTTCATTTTTGATTTTACTCACTTATTTTTTAAATGTTTATTTGAAATTGAATTTTAATTGAAACAAGCTATTTGAGTGCCTCTTCGCAATAACGGATAAGTGGGGTATATGAATGACTGGATAGAGCTCCAGTATTTCTTATATATGCCAAAATGACACTACTACATGTTAAGTGATCGAAGTCAGGCAGCTCGCATATTGGCGACTTATTAGGTCTCTCCAGTTGTCAAGTGGCATGAATACTATCGTAAATGTTTTGTAAAGATCATATTCTGGATTCAGGTTACGTATTATCAAAGCAAAGAATGTTTGAAAGTATCACTTTTAAATATTCAGAATTTAGCTAGCCGATAATTATTGCTGTTTCGTAAATATAAATTTTGATGGAGGTATTTTGCAAGGTTCATATTCCGAACTCATTCGGATACCTTTTACCAGCATAAAAAAGTACAAGATCAGAATACGTGGAGATCAGAATGAAATTTGATGAATAATTTGATGAATACCAGGATGGAATTTGATGAATAATTTGTTCATGTATACTGCATTGTATTTTAATGCATTGCTCTGTGTGTTTCTCTGCAGTGAATTCACGTTGATAGGATAGAACGACAGGAGTTAGTACTTAGGTAAATGAATGTTGACGTGGGAATGAGATGTGGAGAGAGTGGATTAATTGATATTAATTGGAACAAACTGAATCAAAGTAATGCCGTTATTGAAGCAGTAAGCACTGTATGTCATTACGTAGTTGGTACCATTCGATGGTTGATTACTTTTCATCATCTGATTTGATTATGAAGATCATTTCAGATGGAAGCAGTGAGGTCGGGTAATGTTGCGAAACTGGTAAATCGTTTGAGCAGAGATCTTTCGCAAATGAACAAGACAGCAACAACGCCATCGGTTGATATCAGTTTTAGACGATCTGGTAAGCGATCTAACCAATTTTGTCCTCTCTGAATGATATAAGTTCTGATATGATATAAGTAATGCGGACGGTCGTATTTCTTTTATTTTTATTGCGTTTCAAAGCTTAGAAATCAAAATACATGGAATGATTTTGCACTGTTATTACTAGATATTAATTCCACCGCAGATGAAAATTTCCAAAGTTTTTCAACTTATAATATTAGAATTTAATTTGTGAAAGTTGCTAATACGATTAAAAAAAAGCTCCTAAAATGCACAATTAAAAGTCTTAAAACTAAAAACATTATATAGGAAATAAAGATGTGGTAGTTTCTTTTTTGGCATTCCTAATAAGAAATGAATATTTCTGTTACACTGTTTCAAATCTAGTCATAAGGTTTGTGATATACATCTTTCAAAGTAGCACTGATTAGCAAGGCGGCAACGTTGATTGGGTCAAGAGTAGGGAATGTGGATGCTCACATGAATTTCAATTAACCTTTATAAATATCAAGAAAAAATGGATGGTCATTTTCTTCAAATGGAGCCGGTTACAAGTCTAGAAGGACGGTCATATTTCTTTCATTCTTATTGCGTTTCAAAGCTTAGGAATCAAAATACATGGAATGATTTTGCACTGTTATTACTAGACATTAATTTTCAAATAAATTAATGCTATTAGTTATATGCATTCTAATTTTGTAGCTGCTGTTTTATTTTCTGGCTGGAGCGTTAAGCATGTGCACTCTCCATAAAGTTGTGAATTTTTCTATCTTATTTATAATCTTCCGTAATAGTTCTTCCTCATGCTGGGGATGATATTCAATAATATGTCATTTATCATCTTTTATTTAATTTAAAAAAATATGCATTTTTTTTCTCATTGCAACATAGAAAGTGAAAAATCAAAAAAACATTGAAAGTTTTTGATGAGGAAAGAAATTAGTACAGATAAATTTTAAATGAAGTGAAGAACAGAGGAAAAGAAAAGGTAGTATTCGGGATGATCAAATGTAGAAATGGCGCATGATCTTTTTCCTAGAAAAGAAATATTTGTTTACTATTTTGCATTCTTTCTTTCTTTTTTTATGTTGCCCTTGCTCTGCACGGAAGACCGATCTTCTTTTGACCGTTCAGTTATGTAAACGACTGAATTGTTCCCAGTGGATCCTTTTAATAGCACTTTATATAATTGAACCGGTTTTGAGCGATTTGGTAGTTCAGTAGTTCTGGTGTGCGAAAAGAATCATGCGAATATTTATTGAATATTTCAAAACGAATGAAAATGCGTCAATCGAATTATTTTATACATTTATGATAGAAAAGTTTTAATAATTCAGTTACATCGCAAAAAATTTTTTCAGTATTTGGACAACAGTTGACCTAACTAACTATGGAGATTTGTTCTGTAGATTTTGTATCTATGTCGGGAGGATTGCAATGAAATTTAGTTCGTTGTTAATGAGGATTTTAAATCGAACCCTTGCTCTCAACTTTACTAAACATAATTTCGGATTGATGGGTTCTTTATTCAAAAAAAAAAAGACATAAGAGGAAGTATTAAACTGAGCTATAATTAAATCTATCACATTAGTTTAAATTTTATAGTTATGGTTAAAGTAAATGCTCCTGGATTATTGATGGATTGCTAAAGCGTATATAAAGAAGACATGAAATAAAATATTAAATAGAAGTATTGGTAACTGCGGTGCACTTGGGAGATTAAACTTAGGACACCTATTGTGATAAGTGATGTCTTGAATATCTGTGTTTTTATGGGAATTAGTGCTCGGTATCATTGTTATTGTTGAAAAAGCGAAGCGTTGTCCATTTTAATGATGAAAGATAAATATCACGCATTTTGCTGATTCTTAAGAATTCAAACAGGCTCTAATGAATTTATTTAATCTACCTGTTTCCATGAAAAACTGTTGCCAAATAGTATATGATCAAATATGATAGTGGTGTTGCATTTTTCAATCTAACTCTTATGTGATGAAATCTGTGCCATTCGATCTTGTCAGCTTTCAGCACTTTATTTAGTTTTTCCTCTGCACTTTATTCTTTTAAATTTTTAAAGCTAATTAAAATATAAAATTTATTTCTGTTGATTTTCCACATTCATATTTCTCTATCTTGTAAAGCATTTGTATTAATTATCATTGTATCATCATTTTTTAAACAAATTAATGAGTAAGAACTCTGTTATAATTACCACATGTTTTAACTGAAACATATTGAATCTTGTAATTTTTAGAATAATCTTAAGGTATATGACAGCGTGTAATTGCGACCTCTGTGATTTTTGATTCAGTAATGATATGTGAGTACTTTCAGGATATTTTTAAAAAAGAAATTTTACTTCTTTATTTGTAAAATAATCTTCACTAGGTTCTCTATAAAATTTAAGAATTTCAGGCGGAAAAAATTCCAGGTATTATGGTTTTGCTGAGCTGATAGATTCCTTTTTCCTTTTACTTGATGATCAGCTAAAAGTGTTTTGTCCATTTCTTTACGCTATAAAGTAAATTTGAGCAGTGCAAATGAAATTTATAATATGACTTTAAAGCGTAGTATGAGAAGGGGTGATTCATCCAGAATGCAAATTGTAGTGAACGAGGGCTGTTTTGTGCATGTGAAAAAAAAAGAAGGAAGGGGAGAAGATACTGATGCAGAAAGGCATAAATCGGTGCTAATATGATTTGTCCCGGTTTTCGTGATGGTGTTGAAGAGTTGTTGAGAGCACAAAAGTTTGTAAAGTCATTCATATTTTCGGTGTTTTATTTTTATTCTTTTTATACCGCAAATTTTCTTTGCGTTCAGTGTCGTTGCTCAAGGTTTCAGATGTCTTCTCTTAAATCTTATTTTAAAAGAAATTTAAGAGATATTATACGAATTATTAGTCTCATAGTTTATATTTTATGAATCCGTCCTTATATGTTCAATCTACAATAAAGACGGCAAAACCTGTACTTGCATATTTCATTGCTATGATTCATTTTGATATTTCTTGAAAAAACGTCCTCTGCAAACTTTGGTTGGTTTTTTAAGCTTCTGTGTTTATGGTATTTTATGAGGATACTGTCGTAGATATAATCCATTAATTATTGGTATATCTTTAATCCTATGTCATATAATTATTCCTGGAATGTGGCAATTGATTTATGAACTGATGTCCAAAATGTAGATGAAAATTTGTAGTGAGTAATATTGACAAGGAATTGTAGCTATTTTAAGAGCGACTTTTTTTGTTGAAAACCGTTTAGTTCTTTTTGAGCTTCTACGATACATTTGTTAATGGATCAGAGGAAATATGAAGATTTAGTATATTATAACACTCAAAATGTCCAACTCCGTGAACAAATAGAATTTAAATAAGCGATAAAATGAAAAAGTCTCACGTTTACATGGGTGATGTTAAAATCTGGGACCTGCAGTACGCGGTGATAGTAAGATGTCTTGAAGGAAATGTTCACATTTATAGTTTATTTACTGGTCACTTACATCAGTTTACTTTTTTCCGTTTTTATTTTTTCAATTGACAGGTACTATGGTGACGCGTTCGGCCACAGTGAGATATTCCTATAAAGCAGTACATGAGGATGAACTTGATTTGGAAGTAGATGATGTAATTGATGTTCTAGAAGAAGCAGAAACGGGATGGATGAAAGGAAAATTAAGGAACACGGGTCGGGTTGGATTATTCCCTACTAATTTCGTACATTTCATTGGTGAGTTTATGTTGATATATTCGTCCTTTTGTATAGGTTATTAGAGGTTCATTTTTTTGTTAGTTTTTGGAAATCGTTCGATATCGTTTTATGGATGTTAAAATTATTTTATGTTTTTATGTTATTTTATGTTTATTTAATTATTTTATAAATTTTTATTTAATTTTTTTATTTAATTTTATTTAATTTTATTTAAATAAAAAATTTTATTTAATTATTTTATAAATTTTATAAATGTTTATTTAATTATTATATAAATTATTTTGTTTATTTAAATTTTATTAAAATTATTAAAATTATTATAAAATGATTAAAATTATTTTATGGATGTTAAAATTTTGGAATCTGTTCTGAAGGATTACTTCAGTAAGCACCATTACGCCGTCTTTACGTAATATAGTTTTTGGTCTATATATAATAGAGACTGTTATATTCTACGATGATATCTATTACAAGTGTAGTACTCGTCCGATGGTTACGATTCGATGTGAGAAGTCGTGGAATGCAATGAAGAATAAAGTTTATACCTCAATAGAATGTAGGGGAAATCAGTTATATTTCGTGTTCCCTGTTTCATGTAGTTTGTACTTTTATTTTTTTAGATAAAACGACGGGTATTACTGACACTTTGAAATCGAACGATGTGAAAAATTTTTCGGATAATATTGCTTCAGGTGAGTAACTTTATAATAATTCTTTTATTAATGATTTTCACAAAATTAGTGAAATTATGACACATATCGTGTGTAGTGTTTATCATATGTCTCCGTTAAATTATTGAGAACGGGCGTGATTTAGCCCACGCTTTCGGTACAACATAACCACAGAATGTTGCTAGGTAATAGGTATCTTGATTTGAGCCTAACGAATTCTAGTTTAAATCTATCAATGAAATATTCGGAGATTTAGCTTAAAACTAATTAATAGCTGACATCAAACCAACAATAATACAATAAATTAAGAATTTTAAAGGTTGTTCGCAATTACTTGCAATACCGCATTTGCAGGTGATCTGTTGCCCCAAATGCCTACCTCACGGTTATCTATAGCAAGTGAACCACCGGAGAATCGCGTAAATTATCACATGTCTGATGCAACAACTCTAGGAAAGAAAGAAGCGAATGCACGAGGTTTTTAACTTTTCTGCCCTTGATGTGGCAACGTAGTATTATCAATCCTGGGAGTATGTGTCGTTTTCAACAATGGAATCGTGAATTAAGGCTTTACACTTATGATTGGAATTTTCGAAACATCTCTTGATCTATTTATGCTCAAAAATTTTAATTTTTTTATTTACTCCATATTTTATGCATAAGAAATTTTGCTATTTTTAGAAATATTATAGCGTTAACATTAGTCGCGGAGAAGAGAAGTAGCAAACTTTATCATGTCATTACATATTGCATTACTCTGAAATTTAGTACCGCCTTTTTTATGCCACAACGCTCAGAATATAAAGCTTTTATTAGAATTGTTTTTGCTAACCGATTTTTTTGAAAATTATTTTTAAAAACGGTTGAGATGAGTGGTAACAACTGTTGAAGGCACGTAAGGTGTATCATCAGTATTGCTGTGATTTTTATTGGAAACAGCTGAGTTTGTTCGGGTTGTATTCCCACTGCTGATCAGTCAACAACAAAACTTTCTATATTTCTTTTTTTCTGACTTTCGATTTTAATGGACTATAGTGATTAAAAAATATAGAATCGAGTTTTTCTGAAAAATCTTCAGTAACTAATTAGTTAGTGAAATAATTGAATAATATTGGTGTTGTTAAAAATATGTAATCGAGTTTTTCTGAAAAGCCTTCAGTAGCTATTTAATTAGTGAAGTAATTGGATAATGTTGGTGTTGTACGGATTGACTGGATGGCCTTGATGATTCTTGTTATTTATGGCAATTGCCATTGAATTTAGGTCATTAATTTAACTTTTAATTTTTTTAGCTCGCGTTCTATTCACGTATTCGCCAAAACATGACGATGAGCTTGCGCTTCGTGAAGTAGGCCAAATCGTTGGGATTGTGAGTAAATCCAATGAAGATCCGGGCTGGTTGCTAGCTGAAATTGATGGTAGACAAGGGTTGATTCCAGATAATTTTGTTGAAATTCTAAGGCCATCTGTTCCTATCAGCACTATAAATTCAGAAACGCATAAGGTAAGTTTAAAATTTTCCTTTTTTCAGAACAAAGGAAGTGGAGAGGAGAATGAGAGGCGGGAATTTTAGTTAGTGAAGTTGATTGGTTCAAAAAATCATTGCTTTTTATTTGAATTTGGATTCATTCTAAACAAAATGTTGCTCACAAGGCGAATTACAACCTCTCGGGCTTAGAGAAAATATTTGGAAGGAGGCTTTTTTCGACTTTCAAAATATAGAGAAAAGGATACAAAGCCTAAAAAAGTGAATGAAATTCAGATGCCTTTACCGCCATATGTGCCAGTGAAACCAATATCAAAACCAGTGTCGTCTGGTACTAGTCGTCGTGCTACAACTTCCTCGGTTTTTGCTCAAATGCATTCCAGTCTTGCTGATGCTTTTACGAAACCACCGAAACAGTTCGCTGCTAAGGTATTTGTTTTAATTAACTTGAATAACATTTTGATGACTCACTTGAACGAAAAGTGCGAAATCGAAGGGATGGTGCTGAAGGAGACGTTCATCAAAGTGATGAAATTAACTCGAGGTGTAAAACGTAGCATTTCTATACTCTGTCGTACTTGAATATTCCCATGGCTTATGTGGTTGTATTTTTAAAATAGACTGAGACTGTCAGCGGTTTCCGTTTTTGTTATATGATTCTGATATGATTTGACGTACTAAATCTATGTGGTGCTTTATGTTGCGAGTGTTTTATGGACTTCTGCAAGTCGGATCTCATCTAATAGTGAAACAGATGCCTAGAAGTATTGGAATTGATAGCATGTGCAGTAATGAAAGAGACTCTGTAAAAGCATTTTTTTAGGTTGTGAAAACGGAAGAAGGCTCAGCCGGTGAAGGGCAAACAGGTGATCGTCTATCTCACATAACCACAACTCGACCCAAACAGCCGAACAAAAGACCTCCGTCCACCGTTTTCAGGACGGTTAGGAATTGGTTTTTGTTTCTGAAAATAACTTTTTCAGTCGCACGGGTTTTTTTTTAATTCGCTGTTTAACTTTTTCTTTGATTCTCTCTTGTACCTTTTTTAAGTTCTTTGGTTCATGGAGTTATATTTTTATTTAGATGGGTTCATTTTTTTTCCTTATGCCCCACTGATATTCTCAGCGATATTCTCCAACTTCAATTTAAAGTCGCCAGTCAGTTCTGCTTATGCATAAGATTTGGCAATTGATTCTTGCGGAACTCAACTTATGTGTAGTTGATTACAATATATGCTTTTTATTTCATTTGTTAATTTGCTAGAGACCGCTTGTTTGTCAATTTCTGAAATTAAATGCTTTTTTACGTGTAAAAAATTCTTGTTCTCCAAATTTGATGGGGTTATATATTCTGTTTTTACATAATTCGACGTTAAACTTGTCAAAGAAATCGATGTCTTTTAGTTTGTTTCGGGATTTTTCTGATGAAAATTAATTGAATTGCAGAAATCGAATGAAGGTTCAGTTGATGATGGCATGTCGGTGGCAGAATCAGGAAAAATTTCGCCTGCAACGTCGTCAACTTTATCTAGCAGTTATACACAACAACCTTTATCAATAGGTAATTTCATCATTTTATTTGTCTGAGATATTCCGAAATTAAACCGTGAGCAATTAAGAAACAACTCGATGCAAATAACTTAGCTCATTGTCAGTAAATTACTATAAACTTTGAGGAAGAAAAGGAAATCAAACATGATTTCTTGACGTTGTGTTTCTTTCTTTAGTATGATGAAAGGGTAATAGATCTCGCATTGTTGGAACTTTTAAATTATCATTTCAACCTTCCAAGTTTTTTAGAAACTAAAACTTAATTTTTTGTTTGCAAAATATCTTCAGGAGAATTATTTCTTCGATACTGCAAGCATCAGTGTTGTGAACTGGATTTCCAACATTGATCTCTTTCTATGTGGAACTCATTCTAATGAAACATGGCCCGTTTCTGGCGATCTAGCATTTTGACATTCCAACCACTGAATTACGTCCTTGATTTTTTGTCTAATGTAATCTTTCCTTATCCATTATAACATTTTTTTGCATTGCAGCACCTTCTATAAAATCGGTAAAAGTGCAGCAAGCATTATCACCGAAAAACAACAATGATATTGGTGATGAATTTGTGTCACGTAGTGAATATAATTGTTTGGTTCAACAGTTCGAAGAATTACTCACAACAATGAATAAATTTCGGCTCGAAATGTCGCAGAAAGTCTCCATGCTGGAAGCTAAAATTGCCAAACAGTGAAAGAGTGAGTACTTTGTTTTGCTATTCATTCCATCTTTTTAATTTATGCTTCATTTGAATTTTGGAACATTTCTCTTAAATTTGTTTGATTAAAAATTACAGTTGAACTTTTATAGTGGTCAGTCTTGGATAATCTGGGCATCATGGATTTAATTAAAATACGCTGCTTGGACTATGCATAATTTAATCATATCTTTGACGAGTTAATAACCAAATAGACCTCATATAAATAATCCTAAATTCTCCGGCTTACAGAATTTGACAAAGCTGAAAGGTACTTTTTTCTTGGTTTCATCCTCATTTCTGAATTGTTCCATTGTGTTTCTCTTTATTTTGATAAATCGAAAACTTTTTTGGGCTATGTAAAAATTTCAAAGCATGAATTAATTTTCTGCCCCTTAAAATAATGTTTTACACAATCTTTTCAGGGAAAATTTCTGGAATTTTCGTTCATTGTGGTTTTGAATAACGAGCCCAAAATCTTTTTTTCGAATTTTCGAAATTGTAACGCTTTTGGTATTTAAAATTTCAATATTTAATACTTTTGGTCTTGCTCGTTTATGTTAACCTCAAGTTTAGTTTAAATGATTTGCATGATCTTAGTAAAAGCTAACCAAGGTTTTGTTTATTCGGCCGGAAACCCACAGAATTTTTTCCCATTCCCCATAATCCTAATCGTCTTCGTAGTTGGATTGGTTTATGTAATAGCAGTGTTGTCCCTTATCCTTCAATTTAAAACATAATTTTTTTGAATTTCATTCTTTAGCTCAATTTTTTCTTGTGAAGGAAAATATTCTTTTCCTGTCGAAATGTTATTGCTTCATGTCATTTTTGTAATTGATTTGTTCAGTTTCTGAAATTTCATGAAATATGAACAGATTTTTATTGTTCATACTTCGCTTTTATATGTTTTCACTTTAGAGTCCTGTTTTAGAAATCGTGAATTTTTTGGTTTTAATCCAAATTTAATTTTGCATATTTTTGTTTTTATAAAATGCATTTAATTTTTGTAATGATTTGTTTCATTGTGCGATATATAACGTGGATTTTGAAGCAGTGATTTTCTCTCATCTTTCATATTTATTTAACTTATCTTTGACATTTCTATGCTACATTTTTTGCATTTTTACGGTTTTACCATGACAAATAGTCTTTGTTTGCTTTGTTCTTTGAAATTTCAGAAAATTTTAGTTTTCGGATTAAAATTTTGGATGTAAGAAGCTTTAATTAAAACGAAACATTTCGTGTTTAAAATCTGAAATTTTGTTTAAGGCTTCATTTGCAAGTTGATGTAGAAGATAAAAGTTGGTTTGCATTGGAGATTCCTTTTCCTTCGAAAGGCGAAATGGTTGAAAGTTGTCGTGGAAAGCTTTCATCGGGAGAGTGGAGGTATATTAAGAGGAAATGAAACAGGTGGTTACTTATTTTCTTCACGGATGTATTGATTGGCGATATTTCGGGCAGATATTTGAATTTCTGTATATTTTTGTATATTTTTACCTTTTGCATATGATACATTTCTTCTTTGGAATGTACGATAGTTCTACGCTTATTTATACACCAGCTTCAATCGTATTTATATTGTCAAGTCACTCTTCCGGAATAAAAAAAACCCATAGTCATATTTGTTTAACTAAAGTAGTATAGAATGGGAGTTATGTGTCATACAATGTTTCTTGCTATTAAAAGAACTACCAATATTCATTAGTTATACTACTCCCTTTTTTAGTTATTCCGGTAGAGAATGTTTTATTTGGATTTTAAATCATAATGTTCGATATCAACCGAATATTCTTTTAATTGTATATTGCTTATTTTACATAATGATGTAGTACATATTTGCTTGTAATTGAAATTTAAAAAAAGAACGAAAGAAATAAGTTCACCATGTACATTTGGTGCTGATAGGTTGTTAACCAATGTTTGGTTTAATTCACCATCATTTACACATTTAATGGATTTTTTTTCTTGGAGGGATATACTAATGATTAACGAGATTGTGGATAATATCAGAAGAAGTCTTTCAAAACTGATACGGTTAATTGTTAATTTGAATTTTACAAACCGTCTGCGTTTTAACTGGAGAATTACGATTGCAATATCAAATTAATATTTGAAAAAGATCATAATCGTATCGTATTCCTAGTGAATGTGAAGGACTTGTAATAATCCTTTCAAGATTATGATCGAGAGAGTTTTTAACTGAAGTAAAGGCGCCATTTGATTTTATTAAAATCGGTACTTCGAGAAGATTTGATTTCTTCTTTGAAATAAACTTTTCAGCTAAGTATAAATCGTTTGTGATATTGGAATTTTGATTTTTAGTTATGGTTGTTCATCGTTGCAATTCGGAAGCAGAGTTTCATGGATTTTTAACAAATGCTGGCGCGAAACCTGTTATTGTTGATTTTTATGCAATCTGGTTAATTAACATTCGATGATTGATTTTTATTTCAAATTTTGGGGTTGAAAATTCTTTTTTTTTTTTACTAGGAAGAGCAATTGGAAACTTTTATAACTTTGGAACTTGCAACGAGGGGAGTGATTTTTTACTCCAACCTTTGGTATTATTTTCATTAAAAAGGGAAGACATTTTTAAATGCAAAATATCTTTGTAGCATTCCATATTTACTCATCAAATGAGTACTTGTATTTCTGCAGAATAAGTATTAGATTACATAAAATTTAATCGTTCTGTTAATGTGAAATGTAATCGATAATATATATTACTGAAGGTGTGGACCATGCCGACGAATAGCACCAATATTTGAGCAACTTTCCAATCAATATTTAAATGTTGTATTCGTAAAAGTGGACGTTGATAAGGCAAAAGATCTGTCGACACAGCAGGGAGTTACTGCGATGCCTACATTCATTGTATATATGAATAGGTACTGTAACTGCTCCCAAAATTTCACTTAATTTGAAGTATGCAAATTTTACTAAAGTACCATTCTTTAGTTTAAACAATCAAAGATCAAGTGCTGAACTAAAATGTTGAACATCTTACTCATGACAGTAGCTTAAAACCAGATAATTTTAAAAATTTAGTTGTTAACATGAAATGAAATAACTAGTTTCTTTACATATCTGATTTTTCTTTTCTAATAACATTTGATTGCATAGGGTGAAGGTTGATGTTTTGCGGGGTGGCGATCCAACGGCATTAGAAGCACTGGTTAAAAAGTGGTCAGGAAATGCGCCAAAAGAGGATAGCCCGGTCGCAGGACAAACTGATCTCATAACATTTGTCGATAAAACACAAGTGGAATGCTTGAATGAAGATGATAATGCAACATTGAGGTTCGTGAGATTGTAAAGATTTCAGTTTTTATGAACGATTTTATAAAGCTTAGTTTTTTATGAACATTTCAATGAAGTTTTTTAGTTTGATTTGACGAATCCCTGTTTTGCTCTGTTATTGTTTTTTTACATCTAACAGATTTAAAATACATCTTTGAAGAAATGATTATCAGTTTCCAAAAAAAGTAGTGATTATCATTTGATGAAAAAGTTCTTGTTATAAGCTTTTGAGCTGTTTCATTTCACATCCCAATATATTTATTATGAGAGAGAAGGACATTTTTCATGTTGTAATGTGGAAGGAAGTTTTCATAGTTGCTATTAGTAAAAAAGTGAAAGATTATGGGAACAATAAGGTTTTTGTTTTCTGATAATAATTTCAGGAGTCTTCTCAGTGGTGAAGGCGTGCTTACATCCGATTGTGATCCTCAGCTTATTATATCAATTCCATTTAATCAGCCGGTAAAAATCCATTCCATTTATTTGAAGGGGAATGGTCCGTCAGCACCAAAAACAGTCAAAATTTTCACTAATCTTGCAAGTATTCTTGATTTTGATCGAGCAACAGATGCTGAAAGTGTACAGACAATTTCGTTTTCCGAAAAGGTATACCTCATGAATATGGTATTACCAGTTGTTGCATTTAAAAACTACCTCTTGACTTAGTTAGTGGGTAGGTAAAGGATATTCTTGATACAGTTTGAAGTCAAAAATTAGTGTCAGAATATATGCCATATGAGTTAACATAACTTTTTTCATGTTTCTGCTAACTTAATGAATGATTTTGCCTGTAGTAAAAGCATTTTGCCTGTATTCGAAATCGCCTACATAGATGGAATTTGTAGGCCACTGAAGGAGAATTATACAATCTACGTTACGTGAAGTTTCAAAGTGTGAAAAATATACAGTTGTTTGTGGAAGATAATCAGGGCGGAACCGAAAATACAACAATTGAAGCCCTTCGCCTTTATGGAACGCCACTTTCTGCAACAAATATGCAAGATTTTAAGCGAGTTAGTTCATTACATTTCAAATTCCAACCTAATATAATAATTAAAAGTTCTTGTCAAAAGTCAAATCTGGATTAATTTTCTCGGAATTGCTGCAAACTTGTTTTTTAAGCCAGAGAAGAGAATAGACAGCATTTTAGATGATCAAGCCTAAAACGGGAATGTCTCTTTGATTATGCTTTATCTATGACATATTCATGGCTCATTTACTGTCTTTTTTTTCAGGTTGCTGGTAAAGTTGGTGAAGTTGGACACTAATAAATGGATCTACGAGTCTGACCTAAGAGTTTCACTATCCTGACCTGTTGAACGAAATAACACAATCCATATGTGCATCTTCATTTTCATCTTCCTCATGAGATTTCGTTTATATTTTTGGATAAACCAATTGCTTATTTGTTGTTTTTGGAACGTTAACACATTTGGTTTATTGCTGCTAAAATATTCCTAATTTCTCTTCGAAATAAACTTATTAAAGAATGACTTACTCGAAAACTCCCAATTATTAATACTTTAGGTAATAGGATAAAAACAGCATATATATATAAGCGTAAAGAAATGCGAGATGTGCAATGCAATAGATTATATCATTTCTCGTTAAGTACTGTTGACACCGCTAATAAATATGACAAATTGACTTTCTAAATTGAATTTAAGTTGATTTTAATCTCGAATTTCTATTTTTACAAAATTACTTAAATACATCATACGAATAAGATAACGCAGTTCTAAAATGCAGCGCTTGTAGGCAGTTTGTTGCTTGTGAAATCCGGTGCGTTATCGAAACGGTGCAGTGTATTCAACTTATTAATTGAGAGATTCGATGGAATTAATTTAGTTAGAATTGAAATGTTGGTGCCAAAAAGCCTGCCAAGTTTTCATGGACTTAGGGATCGACTAATATTGTAGTGCTTTTTATTGTGCTTTATTCCATTGACGGATGCTGCACTAAATTATTTTAATCGAAGAAGAACAGAGTAGGACTGAAGTCCAGAAATATAAATTGGATTTGAAAGTTGTGGTTATGGATATTAATTGTAAAAAACTAGATTTTTCTTGTTACGAACTTTTTATGTAGTTCCAAAGCCAAATTTGGATCTCTAATCTTAAGAAGTTAAGCGTGCCGAGCCGATTGGAAGCAAAAGGGGTAATAGCAGAATGGACGTTGAACGTTTGATGCAAGATTTATCGATTGATCAGCTACAGGATATACATTCCAAACTTTGGTAGGAGTTTTTTGAAGTAGGCCGAAAGAGTAGGTTTTTTTTGGCTGCATGGTAATTTAATCCTTAGAAGCAATCATGGTAATTTAATTGCACTCGATCGGCTTAAAAGTTTTTGATTTTCTTAATCGCATATTATCAATTTTCACAACAAATATATTGCTTACAATCATTGAGAGCTCATTGATCATCTTTCTTTACTGATTGCTTCTTGGGAGATAATGCTACTTTAATTTCCTATGTGAGATTACTTTTTAAATGCTCGTAAGTTCCAAAATTCAGCGTGGAAGTGGAAGAAAAAAAGGAAGAAATGCGGCAGATGGTTGGTCGCCGCTATCGAGATGTGCTGGATGCATCTAGTTCGGTTCGTCATGTAATGCGGATTGCTGATTCATTGGTCCAGTCTGTACATGCTGTTCGAAATATTGAAATTGATCGTCCATTTAGCACTGAACGTTCGATATCAAGCGCGAGGCTTTATCGGATATCAGCACTCTTGAAGTTGTATTTATTGGTAAATTATTTGCTTCCTCTTAATTTTACGTAGTTCATTTTTGTCGGTAGTTATAAGTTCCGTGATGGACGATTTCAATGGCAGCGGAGAGCATTATTATATTTGCAAATAATGCATACATTATATTTGTCATTATTTGTTTTGCAATTGATTAATGTGTCCACATATTAACATAAATTATGCATTATTTCGAACATATCATTTATATGAAACTGTTTATCATTATGTTCCTATGTTTTGTAAACCAAAGCTTTTTGATTTGTTGTTTGCTACAGATGGTAAGCATCTTGAGGAGCTCTTATAAAACATGTCGCTTCAATGTTACGGAATCATTACTATGTAGCTATTTAAATACTTCAACTATTTGCAAGGAATGATTTAACTGGTAGTTTGAAGGTTTCTGTACATTAACATTTTATTTTAGATCGGTGAAAGCGACCCGTTGTCAGACGCATTCATTCTACTGCTTACTGAAATTCTTCATCGTAATTTGTCTACTGACATTATTCAGTCAAAAAAGTTTTCACGTCTGATTTACCAGATGTCACCGAAACTCATACGGATACGGCTGAAACTTGAAGATGAGTTTATCATTGGTTTAGGCGCAATATCTGATACAAATGAAACCTTAAATCAGTTAATAGCAATTGCAATTCTTAAAAATTGTTCAAGCAAAGATTTATTGGATATCTTCATTGAGCAAAAAATGGTCAGTTATATTTTTTTCCTATATATCGGTCTGATTGATTGTCTTTTTTCATTTTTGTTTGGGCTTTGCTAACTAGATCAAGAAATCTGTAGAGTCGTAGACTTTTTCCGATAACAAAATAGGAATAAGAATGTTTATTTTGTAGTATGTAAAATATAACAAATTATTGTGCGTTCTAATTTTCAAGTATTTTTATTGCAAAAGATTGAGGCGTTGTACTATTCATCCGAAATTCGTGTTTCAGACAACTATCAAGAAAGCTTTGAGTAGCTCGTTGCCGTTAGTTGATTTGGTGTGGCAAGTTCGTCAAACTTTTGAATGTTTGAAGTATATTTTTGTTAATGGTCGTTTAGCTACGGTGTTACAAGTTGTATCCACACCTCTCTGGATCCCAAGTATGCACATAGTTAAATTGTAATTTAAATTATCTTTTTTTAGGAGATAATAATTATATTATAATTGTACATCACTTGAAAAAATAATTGAATTTGTATGAAATTAGGTGAATTCCCAACGGAAGCATGAATTTTTGATGAAGTCAGTAAGTTAATTACGAAATTTTTAGAAAATTACGAAAATTAGAATATGTATTTGGCTAGAATGAGAGAATTAATTCATTCTCTTTTTCAGATTTCTAAAGTTTTTAGTTTTACTTTATATAACCTGAACGATTTTAGAAGTGTTGGAAAAAATGATGTATGATGAAATACTTTATTTTGGAAAATGCATCAAAGCAGAAATTACGGAAACAAATGATCATTGCAGGCAACTTTCTTTGACTTCCATTGACGAGAATTCTTTGTTTTCGCATTGTAATTCATTTTTGGACAAGTAAGTGTTAAAATATTAATTCCAACTAAATTTAACATTTGTAAGTGAAGATTCTAGAATTTTCGTTTGTCAACTTAACCATTGGAAGAGCTCTTCTTCCTTATCAATAATCGGAAAGAAAGTGATTTTTTCATGAATTTTTATGACGATTCTGGAAACATGTTCTTCTAAATTATATTATTTCTAGTGTTTGTTCCGCGTCGCATAATATTGTAAAGTTAAAATGTGATGTTATGGAGAATACTTCTTCACTGATTGGTTTTATCAAGGTTCTTCTGGAAGCATTTGCTGAAGTATGCTTTGTTCTTCGAAGTGTTTTCTTTTTATGTTTAAGAAGTGAACATTTTTTATACTGAATTAAATGATTGGTTTATTTAGATTCTTAAAGTTCTGCTTGCATAATAATCTTTGTGTCACATGTCTGCAATCAACGACGTCAGCTCTATTGATGTAATAAATATCTTGTCATCGATGGAATGTACGATATTTTTTATATTTTTTAGAAGTGGCCATTGATTGGTGACAGTACTGCTGTATATCAGCGATTAATCGGAAATATGATCATCGAAAGATTCCAGGTTCGTTTATTGGCTTGAAAATGTCCCACGAGTGATTATCTTCTTTTACAGTTAAATTGATTGAAATGATTTGGTGGTGTAGTGTCCTATTGCTTAATTTGACCAGTTTTAGCTAAGATATTAGCATTTCATCACGGACCAATTCGTTACCTATTTAACGAGGATATTGGAAAGATAAAGATTTAAAACTATTAATTTATGAATACGTCGGGAGAAATATCTTTGTTTTTATTGCTGTTGTTTAAGGAATTAATCACGAATGAATTATCAGTCTTGGAACGAAGTTTTCTGGAGAAAATTCCCACCATTTCGTGCCATCCGCCAGCGTTGTTCAAAAAACGTGCTCCGAAACTTGATTCACTTCTTGCTACCGGTGTTTCACAAGAATTGATGAGGTTGAATCCTTTTAGTTTTAAAACAACGTTAAAGGCAAAGCTTTGCAAAATGAAGTTTTACCAAGTTTTGAAACTAAGTTTTCGTTTCATTTCAGTACTGTCAAGGAATTTGATGGTAGCTTGCATTCTTTATTGGATTTTATCAAGGAATATGAAACTATTGGTAAGGAGCAAGCAGTAAATCAGTTACGTGAGCAATTCTCTGTTGCTGTTTTGGAAATGTTGAAGAGGTGAGAAGAGTAATTTCAGAGTCTATCATTGTTAGCAGTAATAATAAACGTTTTTCCGCTTGATGCGACAAGTGATGATGACAAATGATTAGCTTACGGTTTATTTCTGCCGCAACAGAAGAATAAAATTTATGTTATATATAATCACTTATGCAAACATATTAATCTTAATCAAGAGAAAAATTCTTTTATCATGCTTTCGCAGTTAATTGAGAGCTCTATTACTATATCATCATTCATAGATTATGTGCCGTTGTGGAAGAATTTGATATTTCTGATGACAGTTCAAATGGTTCACATTCCAATCGTGCATTATGTATGGCTAGAGTTTATATTTCTTTGATGCAGTTTTGTAACTCGTCTATTTCTCTATCCATGCCAAAAAACATGGAACGTATGATGGAATGTGCAAGAATGTTATGTGAAAGTGCTGAAAAATCGCTTTGGTATAATTATGTTAATTGCAAGTTTATTCGTTTTATTTTCTTCTGATCCATACACATTGAAGTGGTTGTGATTTTTGCATATCTGTTGATTTTTTGGGATTCTCACTTTTAAATCTTAATAATTTTTGAAACAACAATATTTTCAAATTTGTCAACAAGAAATTTACGTAACATTTCCACTGCATAGGATATAATTCATAACAATTGGTGATTCCAATGATGAGCAAGCTGAAATAAAATAGTGACCTATCGTTGATTATATTTGATTTAATTTTTGCTTTTAGTATTAGAAAGAATTTTTAAACGAGAACCCTTGAGAATGAAATAAGTCAAGATTTTCGATCGATAAAAATTCTTATGGAATATCCTTTTTTTGCAGTACTTATTTGGATGTGATCATTGAAAATTGTGCTGAAGAGAAAGAAGTAAGGAAGCTGGCTGAAGTCCACGGTGATCCATTCATATTTGTATCATATTTGCAGGTATGTCATATTTTCCACACGATTTCAGAAATATTTTTGGGTATTTTGTGGAAAAAATGGGATTAATTTACATATTTTGTCGGACTTAAGCTTATCGAATTGCTTTTTTTAGTCACATATTTCCAAATTAAAATTTACATATTCAGGAGTTTGAAAAATTAGAATTGCCTGAAGTTGGTATAGTGGAAGTGCCTGTACAAATTAATCGAATTTTATACTCTTTTCTATACCATTTATGTCAAAAGGTAAATTTTTCACACGATAAAATCGGAAAGAATTTTGTCGTTACTGACCTTAAGGTGCTTAAGCTGTTATTTATTTGAGAACTTTGTTAACGTTGTTTTTAAAGTACTCTTCTATTCCTTATAGTCTACAAGAATTTGTAGCATTTTTACGCTTGATATCTGCTAGTCTAATAAAATGAAGCAATTCTTTCTTATCTTTTAAAGATATGATATCATTTTATTGAATACCTAAAACCAGATTACGATCATTTCGAAGGAAAGTTTGAACTTCAAGTTTCAGATCTCTAACGATTCCATTGGTTATTTATGTACACGAAATATTCGATCACACATTTCACAACATCTTGAACAATTACTTCTTTCTGTGTATTCCGTCGTTGCTCATTCTAGTGTGGAATTATCCTCTCGAATCGCTCTACAGTATCTTTTCGATGTTCGTTTCTTGAATATTATCTTGCCAAATGGTGGTATGCGTCCGCTAATTCCGCTTTTAGAAGCAAAATTGGATCCGTTTGATTTGAGTCTTGTTTCTAGCGCGCTTGGAAAAAATGCTCGGGTGGTGGCTCAACGTCATTCGGTTCGTACCGTTTTTATTTTTAATCATTATCTCTAAAGATGTTGTTTTGATCTTTAAATTGAAATTTCATCAAAAATTAAGAAAATTTTCACTTATTTGGCTAAAATAGTGATATATATTCTGCAGGCTCCGTGTATGTTTTGGAGATACTTATCATTATTAAAAATACCGATGACTTGAATAAATAAGTTGGTGGAGCAGATTAGTCAGCACCACAATCTTTTTTTCGTAGCTTCAAATATTGCGACCTATTGTCCTATTTTCTTTTTTTCCAGATCATTTTTGCACATTTGCTTTCGGATGTGATAATTAATAAAGAGCTTTCATTGAATGCATCTTTCTCGGCTGTTGTTGATATTGTACCTCGGCTAAGTGATGCACCACGTCTTCCACATATCCCACGTTTGACGAAAAATACGGTAAGTAATAATCGAAATATCGAAAAGTAAGATGTCGTTAAAATTGCTTTTATCAGAGATTAGTTGTATACTTCGGCATTTCAGTATTTCGGCTGCGAAATATAAAATTTTTATTTGTACTGTTGACTTGCTTTTCAGTTATTTGGCAAATCATCCATAAAAAGATGTAGGTTTCCCAATCGTTCCAAGATTTTCAAAAATTTATAGAAGTCCGATGATATGCTATCTTCAACTGCCATAGTAGCTGCGAGAAAGAAGGAATCAAGAACTCAGCAACAACAGCAGCTAGGAAGTATCAAAGCTACACCGTCATTTTCATCATTTTATAAAATCTCTACAAGCTGGTTTGGGAACAGTCAAAACTAACTGTGGTGGATGTGTGCATATATCTCAAATTTCCGTAACTGTGATAAACATTTGTATCGTTAATTTATTAAATAATTTGTTACCTTTTTCACAGCATTTTAACAGTTTGGAAATTTCATTCGAGATTTTAAATGGAATGATTTCATGGCTAGGAAAGGTACTTAAATATAAATTAAACAATTAAGCAGTTGAAATGGGATGATTCCAAACTAGAAAAGGTACTTGAATATAAATCAAACAATTGAGCAGTTAAAATTTAACAGCTGATAACAGAAATTTTTCGGTATCCGAGGCTAACCATTGGGTCAGATTTTTATTTTGTGGATTTAACATGGTATGAATATTAGGGAAATAACCCCAGTAACATTAAATGCTGGCTTTGAAAGAAGGCAAACGACCTCGCATATCTTCTTGCATTATCCAATTTGATATGTTCCATTATTAAAATATTGGTATATAAGAGTATTTCAACAATAAGTGGAAAAGAAACATGCTTTTTTAAAGTAATGGATCAACACACAGCAAGCACAATACAATAAAGAAGCATTACAATCTGATTACAAAACGTAATGGAATATGCGTTGGACGCGTGATTTACTTGAACATGAGTAGTGCTACTTCGCTTTCATCAATTATTCCTCTGCCCTCAACAAGTTTAAGGCGCAGATAACCATAGAGAAGATCGGTAAGCAAAAAAATCTGGAAAAATAAAGAAGGGATTTATAAAATTGTGCAAGGTCATGCGAATCCCTTGCAAGATTTGAAAAATGATCGATCTGATTAATTCTTAGAAGTCAGGTAGAATTCTCTCAAATGTGGCAAAAGAAAGATTAATCAATACCTGGGCAACCGAATAAGTTAAAGTGGCGGCAAAGTAGAAATTTGCATTTCCCGAACCGGTAACAATCCACATTTGCCACATTACTGGAGCCAAAACGATTGTTGCTGACAGTGCTCCACCGACAATTAGTCCCCAACGGAAATCTGTGGAAAATAGTTCAAAAAGTAAGCTCCGAGATGAACTAATTTTTGATGGAATATCGAGCAGAAAATTTTTAAACAAAACTTCAAGGATGAGGCAACTTTCGGGTATATCTTCATATGTCTTAAAAAATTATTTCCATTCATCGGAAACTAAAATGATCGCTTTATAGAAAGGATAAGAATATAAAAACTATAAAACCAACATTTTTTTAAATGTTCAAAAAGGGGCAATAAGCTCAAGTAAATCAAACTGTCAGCCATTGATGGATACGATGCAAAGACGGAAATGAGAATCATTAGTTGATACAGAAGTAGAAAAGCATTGGATCTGAAGTAAAAGCATTTGCAAACAAAAATAAATGCATTCAAACTGAAAATATAATTTATGCTTAATCTGATATGATATATAATAAATTAAAGGATTGAATTCCGTCTTTCAAATTACGCCTGAAAATTGCACTCTTCAGTACTTTTCGGGATGCAGAAGAGTAGCAATTTAGGCAAAAGTATATTGACTTTCATATTGACTTTTAAGAAATGTTACCTTAATGTCAGTGATAAGGGTACAAGATAAACAAGGATATTAATTTGAAATACCCAAAGAAAAAAACGCCGAAAATGATTGAAAACTTCAATGAAAAAATACCAGAATATGCCAACATTTGGTGTCAAGTCACGAACATCCAATCTAGAAAATGTCAAATAGAGAACAAAGGAAATTAAATTTAAATCATAATAAAGAAACACAAGATTATAAAAATTCTTCATTTTTGTGCATATTCCAGCTTCATATTCTAATTTCTGCCCTGCAGCAAAAAAAAAACTAGAACTTACAAAAACTTATATGTTGAATCGACGTAACTCCAGCTATTTTCATTCAGAAAACGATTAAAAAGCAACAATCCAATCAGCATAATAGTCGAAAATGTAATTGTTAGCATACGCTCCTTGGTTGTAGAGAATCTCACCAATAAAGCACATATGTAAACAGCTGGATAAAGTGATAACTGCACAAGTACACTAAACAATATAGAGCTAAACAGCAGAGAACCTGAAAATTTTATTTGAACGTACTTTCTTGGTACAAATGACGAAAATTTACATCTAATATCTGTACAGAGGTATTGACTTTTAAATTGAAGTTTTTTCTTTCTGTTGATGTTATATAACATGAAGTATTGGTGAGTGATTATGCTATAATATAACTTGATGTGACTTTACTGCCAGCTTGCGCAAAAATCGAAGAGTCGCAGAAAACAGAACAAGTCGCATTTTAATTGAACAATGGTTGGCGATACTATTGACGAAGCCAATTCTCGAAAAAATATGAAATTAACCCACCTTTTACAAACGCCAAAATGAAAAGAGCAGTAATTAGGTTGCAAACAACTGAGAGACTGAAAATAGCACAGCTGGCAACAGCAACAGGATTAAGCATATAGCTGGAATTTATAAGTGTAAAAAACTGAAAATAAATGTTTAAAAAGTAGGACATTTCAAAAACGATCATATTCCGAAACTATCGACTTCTAAAATAAAGTTTATGGATGTCTTAACTAAAAAAGAAAGTTTTCAACTACGATATTCATACTTTTGAACACAATAATTACCATTTTGAAACCAAATCAGCAATTCGTTCGATGTTTTCTGCACTGCTTCTTCCTTGATTTTTCAAGTGAACAATTGCTACCATACGCAAAATTTCACTCGTCACTACATCAAACGACTAGATAAAAAAGATTTCAACTTTAATAAGTTTTCAGAATTAACAGGAACATTTTACACATACGATAAACTATAGCTTTATGTATAAACAGAAAATATTCCTATACGCTTGACCCAGCTATGGTACATATACTGGATGATAACAGAACTATTGTATAGAACTGTTTAATAACTCAGCTACGCATTATCCTTTAAACGCTAATCGGAAATTGTTGTTAAGTGACATTTTAAGTTCATTGTAATCAAATAAAGATTCATACCAGGAACATTATCAATAACAGGTTCGGGTAATCGATTAATGCAGTGAATACATATAGCAGTACTGGTTGCTAAAAATAAATTAAGTTGGTAATTCTAACTTTTACACTAATTTAAATTTCTCTGTAAATTATATGTGTAGTAAATTATTCATTCATTATTATACACCTAATTTCAATAGCTCAGCCAAATACGATTTAGTAAAAGTCATGCCAACATACTAAATAGTAATGTGGAAGCGATAATGGTAGTGGAGTATAAGTACTTAGAAGCTTCCGATAAGCCAAGGGAATATTATCTAAGTTCAATGTGAACATATGGTGTATTATGAACTGTATTGGAGAGCAAATTAACGATTCGGCTAAATGAAAGTAGATCAAAACAATTAATACTAAAAGCTATTTTCGAAAGGCAAATGAACAGATAAGTCCAAAGTGCAACAGCGCTTGAGAAATTAAATAATTTGATAATCAAAACATAGCAAAAAAGGCAAAATTATTCTTAGTTTTTCGAAATAATTTTAAAAATAGCTATAATAAAAGGCTTCCATAGGTGATCGGTTTTACTTTAGTGAATTAGTTTCCTTTAGTAAGCGGATAAAATTATAATATTTTGATGCTTACTGCAAATATATGGAAAAAGGATTCTTCCTATCTACTGCTAATCGGTTAATGAAAAGTCAGTTAATGTTAACAGACATACGCAATGTATCATATCACCATCGTACGGAGAAACGCCATCTCTAAGCATATGTATTCCATCAATAAGCCTCCGAAACGAATTCTGTGGTACATTCAATTCCGGACGCTTTTTCAGGAAGTCGATGCAATAAATGTAGGCGAGAACACGAAGAAACACTGCTAATGTACATATTCTGTAAACAAAGAACTAATTGCTTCAACTTACTTGATTCAGTGCTAACTTCAACTTTCATCACGGAAATCTATTGCATGATCAACTCATTCATAGCGTGCCTTTCATCATCTTATAGTCTATCACAACAGAAAATATGACAACTGTGCACTTCTGCTAACTTCGGTCAATTAAATTTTAGTTAAATCGAAGCGCAATAGTTGGCTTCAGCGCACGCATTTCTAAATGATGTTGATAACGGCGAGATTGTCTGACTGAAATGGCAATTGTCAAAAGATCACTCGATACTATTAAAATTGCATATTTAGAAAACTTACAACAGTCTGTTAGCAGGACGACTGCTCGATAAGATTGTGTACTGTCTGTTCGCCATTTTTGACTAACACCATTAAATCATATTTTTCATGTTTGAACAAAACAACCTTCCAGAACTAATTAATTTTGCAGTAACAAGCAACATTGGCTGAACAAATGTCCTGCAATTTTAGATAAATTTGAAACAATGACAAATTCCACTTAATCTATCTAAATCACTACCAATCATGTGCGAAGAACTTAAATCCACTCAAAATAAAAACGAGTGGTGGAAAAATAGTTAATGTAAAAACCAAACGACCTACATCAATCACACCGATTATTTATCAAATGTCTAACCAACTACATCTTAGTTCTCCGATAATTTATAATTTTGTCTACTCCAAATCGCTATCCTTCCAAATTCCAAATTTCCAAAACAAAGTTCCAGTTTATTAGTATAGTCATAAAGTAATAATGCGATAGGTTGAAATCTACCCACATTTCTTTCAATATCTTATCAAAATGATTCCATTTATTGACAAAAAAACAATCATGAAACATTTGGAAATATTTTATTGAACAATAGCTAGCAAGAAATACTTATATATGAAAGCTAAGACACTGCCGTGAAACGACAAATGAAACTACTCGACAAACAAACTATTCACCAGATGTATAAAATGATCAATAGAAGCAAAGCATATAAAATAAGAAAGTAGAGCAGGCAAAGTACCAACATGCAAAATAAGCAAGTAAAGAAATGAAATTGTTTTCTACAATATAGAAGGTGGGAGTTAGTTTAATTCCGTTTTAAGTCAGATTATCATTCTTTAGACTAACTCATATACAAGAAAAAGCAATTATCACTAGTGAGTTTGTATATCGTATAAACATATCAGTGTTAATATTTAATATTCTACTGCTTGATCATTTTCGGTCAATTATCTAGTACATATTTTATTAACTCCCTGGAAAAAGATTATTAGAATGATTTTTGCAAATTTATTGAGATGAATAATACCGAGCATGATTCAAAACTTCATATGCGACGAATGAAAGGGACAGTTTCATGTGTGTTCCAATGTTTAATCGCACACTATCTAAAATTTCTCACAGATATAATATCTGCATAAATTATTTCAGGGAAGTGCAGACTGTTCAAATGTTTTCGAGGAAAAATCAATCAATATGCCGCAAAAAAGATGGAGATATTAAACCGGAAGGTAGGCTCAATGGTTAGATTAAAGATAACAGTATCTTAATACATGGTGAGATCCTTAATATCGAAAGTAAAAGAAGCTCCAGTAGTTCTTGCGACAGTTATTTTTAGTTTTAATGAGTTAGTGAAAAAACTAAAGATTAAATATTCATTCAAATTCAAATTGAAAGTATGAAAATTTCGTATACAAATTTAATTACCTGAGGATTTGGAAATCATTAAGAAAATATTTCCAAATAAGAAAAAAGAGGTATCAATTAAATATTGAAACATTTCATTACTGCTGGATTGAAGCATTAATTCACAACTGAAACAGAATATTTTCACGACGCCGCTTGTGTTCCATTTTAAGTTCTTTAAATATTGAAACATTTCATTACTGTTAGATTGGAGCGTTAATTCACAACTGAGACAGAATATCTTCGCGACGTCGTTTGCGTTCCATTTCAAGTTCTTCAAAAAATTGATCTATATCTTCCTTTTTCACTTCTCTTCCTTCATCGGCCAATCGTTTCAGGTGATTTCCCAGCTTCCGCTTCATTTCTTCATACCCTGGAAAAAAGATTTCAGGAACAGATAATGAACCGGGAAGGAATGGATCAATCATAAATCTATATTTAACTTTAAAAATTGTATAAAATTTTTGTACCTTGAAAAAGTGTTATTGCCCCTTCACGACCAGCTACATCAATCAATGCATTTGTCATAACTCGATCATCATCCTTCGGTTTATCATTATTTCTATTACTGTGCGATTCAACAAATGTTTGTAAACAGTCTGTCAGATCAGTTAAGAATTGAAGATTATTGTCCTCGTAAAAATTCTGAAAATAGCTTATGTTTTAAAACTTGAATTATAAAATAACAAAAGCAAAAAGTAGACTAAATAGTCCAGAATCTTGAGCAATAACAATATATTAGCGATGTCGATTATTATTTGAAGAATAATATAACATGAGCTGCCACATTACATCTCTATGCATTGAGATTCTGAGAATAAAGTGTCAATGGAACTCATTGAAATGACATCAACAGATATTTCTATAAAGTTAATTTAAGCATAGATGTTTCTGGCCTCTTCTCCCAATAAATTCCTTACATTTTTAAATCTATGGGTAAAATTTAATTAAACCTACCGAACAAATTCTACATCGACATAAACGATTTCGCCATTTATAAGAGTTGAAAAACAGAGAACACGGCTGGCTATTTTCGTCTGTTTTAGCATTCGCTTCAAGCCATTTCAATTTACATAATTTATCGTCGGTACATATTTCTTTGTATGTGCCATCAGCGTAGGATAAAAGGAACGTGTAACGCGTGACACAATTTCGACAAATGACCTCCTCTACTTCACTTGTATCAACACTGTCGGCTGCTTCCTCCAGATGCTAGAAAAATTAGTGCAATAATACATTCATTAAAATTGTTTTAAAATTACTATTTCTTTTCACTTTTTCCGTCTTACATATTTCTTTCACAAACATAACATAAACTAACGTTAATCTCTCATACATCAGGGTCTCCTCCTTTATCCATAATAATCTATGGCTTAAACAGTGTGGAGATTGAATGGAATGGTTCGGAAGCCGAAAGGAGTAATCAGAGGAATTTTATACCTGCAGGTGAAACCAATCCTCGCATATGATGCACTGTAGCATTTCGCAATCGTCGTATTCTTCGCATGGATATGGTTTATTGCAAGTACAGTAGAGACCATCAAAATTTTGATTATACTGATTTCGCTCATTTAGTGGTTTTTTCTCCTGAAAAAGAAACAAGTTCACATGTTGCAGAAGAAATTTTCAAAACTAATTTTAAAATTTGGTTTTTAAAATATCTAGAATTTTATCACAAATTGTGAGAAATTTCCGTGGCACACTTGTGAGTGATAAAACGGAGGCAGTTTGAATTGCAAAGCTACAAATCAATTATAAAACTTTTGAACGAGTTGTCTCTTAGTTGAGATCACATATCTTAAGCCAAAGTATGTGATCTTAGATAGGAGACAATTCGTAATCCTTGTTTGAACTTCAGAACCTTTTTTGTGTTTTGAAGCTATTCAAATGTATAACTCCGCAGTGCAAGATCTGTAAGAACTTCGTTATGGGTAAGATGTTGCAGAGAAAATGAAATTGCAACAAAAGTGAAATTAGCACCAAAGTGCTCTACAATCTATTTAATCAAATTTCTGATCATTTTACGGAAAGTCGATTTTTTTTTTTTTTTAACATAACATTAATGTTACGGATATTACTTTATAGAGTGTGCAAGCATTTTTGAATTTAGAGTTTCCACAATCGCAGCAGAAATTTCGTTTTGTATACAATTCAACGAGTTCATGACCATCATGACAATTGACGCTACAAGCATAGCAAAGTGCAGCAGGTCCTGTTGTACTTGTACAGTCACGACAAGAATACAGTGGTTGTCGTGGCTTATAACCCTGCAATTCTGTGAATTTGTAACATTTGAAGTTAATAAAATAATAATAAGCCTTTTAGCTTGCCATTTGACAACTAGACTCTATACAACATCAAAATTATAAATTCAAATAAATCCAATAATCAAATAATCATTTGGCATAATATGCTCATGAAACCAGTCTGTACAATGCGCAACTAATATTCCAATTTAATTTATGAATTAAAAAATAACCTCCGGATATGTGCAAACATTAGCGTTAGCTCCTCCTAGAAGAGCCTCAGCTTCTGCTTCGAGTTCTTCGTGTGCTTCAATAACTTCACTTAATGTAACTAATGGATCATCCGGTATCCTGAAATATAATACCTTAAAGAAGCAACATTAATCGTCTATATATACATATCACTCTATAACATTTATTTCTAAGCCTATTATTAATCATGTCTGCTTCTCTGAATTATTATTAATTAACGACTCGAAGAAACTACTCTTAAAGAGAGTGGTTCCAATATTCTGCATCTTTTCACACTATCCAGTACCATTCTCTAATGCAACTGCGCATTGCATACAGCTATTAGTGACGAGTTGGAAAATGTTCAAGTCGCAAATTCCCTGTGTTCGGTTTACTGGTTACTATACCACTAGCTGCATAGTTTGACTTGGTTAATTCATAACAACGGCTTTATCGATATTTCCGAAGTAAGTCTTGCTAGCCCTCAGCATTGTTCAAACAATGCAATTGTTATATCGTCATAAATCATTCAAGTAGGATTCAGATGTGATGGAATATATCGTTCCACATTTACAAATTGTACTTTTACCAAACTATCACATAACTAACTGTTCGTTAAACTTAGTGAAACATTACTGCATTACTTACACGAATTCCAGTCTTGTCTTCTCCCTTCAACAGCCTCATTGGCCGAATCAAATAATTATGTATACAATGATATTCCGTCCACAAGAATTCATATACTCTTTCAAAAAAATGAATCTAAAAATTTGGCCTAAATCCCATCAAATACAAATCCGTCAAATAGAAAAACAGTAATGTCCAACTTATTTAATTTCCTGTTGAGTGATTTCCAGATCTGATTTCCGATCGATTTTCGATAAACCTTGTTTCTAAATTTAAATGGATGAAGACAACTACGCCCGCGAGCTTCAACTTAGTTGACAAAATAATACATGAAAATTTGCTTCAGAATATTGAGAATTAACTGAGAATTAATCAAACTCTTTACAAAAACATATGCAGAATTTCTCTAATCATTTCAATGCTTAAGCTAAAAACGATAGCTCAAAAAAAGCAACGAAATAATCCCAATATTGATCATGAAAATCAAATATGACTGAATCTGAAATTCAAAAACATATATTGAGTTTCTCTAATCATTTCAATAATAAATGTCATCAAGCTAAAAATAGTAGCTCAAAAAAAATGATGAAGAAACCCTTAATTATGATAATAAATGATGAAGAAACCCTTAATTATGATAATCAAATAGGGTTGAATCTGAAACTATAGTTTGACTGTGATTAATATGAAAAAGTTCTAAAATAAATAAATAAATAAACTAAAAAACACGTACTCAGAATCACTCCCTCGTTTTGTGTCATTCTGGCGATTTCCATTGTCGATTTCAGCATCATTACGATCATTTAACGGCATGCCTCCTTCCATTATTCTTTAAGATCAAATTTCATTACTAGCAAGTAATTATATAACGACTTCGTTGCTCGTTCGAATCACCTTTTAGCTTTCATCTTCGGTAACATTGAATTAAATTCTTTTCTTGAAACATCTTCCTCTTGCCTTCTGTTCCCCATAAACGTTTAGTTTTTTCTAATCCATTAATGAAGTATTGATAAAAATTGATAACTTAAAATGCATTATTTGGATTTACTTTGAATTTAAATTAGTAGCTTTTCAAAACTTTATTTCAATTCAGAATTTAAATAATAATTTAGTCATTTCAATATGACAGTATTAGTGAAAATCATATTTGAAAAAAAACTACCCCTTGAAATTTATTATGCGAATCGATGGCCGATCCATGCCATTGAGTCAATCAAGTAAATAGAGACGGGGGCGAAAGGCGCTGAATAAGATATGAGAGATGATGGAGGGGTAAATGAGTGAAGTGGTGGATAACCACGGGGTTGTTACCGGATTATCTACAGTATATATATCTTTTCTATCGATTCTATTTTGCATATTTATAACTTTCCAAAATGCATATGTAATGACGGATTAGTGTATTTACTTATGTAATAGTAACGGGCTTTTCAATTTTTGCCGAAATTTTGCGGTCTTTTTGAAATTCACATTTTTTTTAACTACAAAAGAAAGTTAAAGGGACGTTGAGGTTAAACTACACGTGTTTTACGTGTAATATACGGAAATTGTTGCTAACGTACAACATTGAGATTAGATTTCACAGACAAAATTCTCTCTTGCTTACAACATATAAATACAATAAAGGAAACATTAGCATATTTCCTTTCAATTTTTCGACAGATTTAAATTTTCGATAGCTAGGTCCAATTTTTCGTAAATCTTAATTAAATTCTTTTTGTTTGTAAAGGATCATTCATTTTCACAGGCGCACTGGTTTATTGCTGGCCGATTTATGGTCTTTCAAAGTTTTCGAGGGCTGAATGATTTCATGTCATCGTATCATGAAGAGAGAAAATGGTTTTATATTAAGAATTGGTAACTTTATTAGAAAGAAAGAAAGTTGATTAGATTATTGCTTAATTTTGAGCAAATTGATTTATTTTAAATTAGGCTTTATTTTTTAAATTTTTTTGGTAAGTTTTGATAATCTGACATTAAATTGAAGTCGTTCGATACATTTATTAAACCGATTTCATTTATATTATTTCATCATTTTATTTGAATATATTAAATGAAGACTTGTAATCACTTTTTTGTGTAAGCCAAAAATTTTTACGTCTTGTTTTCAGAATTATCATTGCATAATTGAGGAAGCGGATAATCGAACAATGGCCTTGGCCATTTTTACACATGGAGAAAATGGAGAAAATGAACGATAAGACACGATTTTGCGGTTTTCGCATATGGACATATGGACAGAATGAACGATAAGACACGATTTTGCGGTCTTTCTTGGTGTGTGCGAGATCCTTGTGGTTTGACGTGTGCTGTCTTCACGTGGTATGTATGATAAATGAACTCTCAACACAAAATTATTTGAAGCTGTCCAATTATTTATATTATTACTTTCCTCTAATGCTAAAAAATCTATTGTCATTTCCTACTCTTTCTTCAATTTCCAGCATCTTCATGAATTTTTTATTGAGTAGTGGTAATATCAGCTACACATTCTCCTTTACGAATTCCTTTCTTCTATAAAAGCATTTTAAAAGAAATATATTTCCTAAAAATTGGTGGCTCGGACGCGACATATTTATTATAAAGATAGTTGAATATATTGATGATAGAGTTAAAAATAATGAAATTTAATGGAGTGTTTGTTATGTAAATGTGAGAAATGATTTTTGTAATATTTAAGTTATGAATTCACGAAGGTGCTCAATAACACTGAAAAAAATTGAAAGTAAGAAAAGATAAATGTATTAAGAAAATGCTGAAGGAAGAATTTTTGTGATTTTTTAACGGTTAATGCTAATAAAGTTTCTTTGTATAGATCACACAGAATTTAAGAAAATATGATTCCAATAATTACGATTGCATATTAATGCAATAATTTTTCTTTCTAATTTCCTCATGTTTTCCCTTCCATCTCCTGTTTTTTGTCCAATTCATCTTTTTTAGAAGAGAATATTCCTACTTTTTTGATTTTGGGACCAACAAAGAGGAATTTAGAAGCCGAAAGTAAGAATTTACTGTATTATTCTTCTTTATATATCGTTCGTATATCAAAATTTATTTTTTTTTTACAGGTTTCTCATTTTATATGGCGAATTTTGCATTCTAACAATAATGATGGCATCTTGGTCCAAACATGTCGTTCATCAAACATTCCACGGCGTTATTTTCCATATCCTTATTTGCTTGGCATTTTCTTCGCATATCAAAACGATGTTTACCGATCCCGGTGCTGTACCGAAAGGTAATGCTACCGATGAATACATTCGGCGATTACAATTCACACGAAAAAGTGTCATCTACAAATGCTCGAAGTGGTTAGTTGGTTAATTCAAAATACTTTTCCTCTGGATTTTACGTTAATTCTGGCTAGTATATTTTTTCTTGGAAATTATTTTGGTTTTTATTTTTTGTTACATTTGAACTGTATCTCGCATACTTTCTTTACTTTCTTTGCATTCTTTACATGATTTCTGCAAATTACTGAATTGCAATTTTATTACGATGGATAGAAATCAAAAAATTTTCAATACCGCAGAACGCTTGCTGCACTGTGTATTTTTGTAATATAGATTGAGACTTGACATTTTACGTTGTATTTTCTATTAAGAAGGAATTAGCAGTGATTTATGGAATTATATTTCTGAAAAATGATGATTCGATATTGATTATTGCAGCAGCAGTGTAAAACCGGAACGAGCACATCATTGCAGTATATGTGAAAGATGTGTTAGACGAATGGATCATCATTGTCCCTGGGTAAACAACTGTGTTGGTGAAGGGAATCAAAAGTTTTTTGTGTTGTTTACGGTACTGATTTTTTCATAATAAGTCAATTGAAAAAAAAGGATAAATTGAAATGAAGGATTTTTCTTTTGGTAAAAATCGTTTATCTAAATAGTATAGAAATGATATAGGTATAAGACTTTTCGTTGACGTTTTTCAAATTCTTCTCCATTTTCTATAGAATTCATTAATATTTTATACTTAACTTCAATACTGATGTCACTAAGGTTAATGTTACCAAAACTACGTTGTTTGTAAATCCTAAAGTGCATGCAAAGAGTAAACTGGAGGAGTAAATCTTGTTAAGTATATTTAAAGCTCAAGAACTGTGGTTTATGTCAGTTTCTTGTCGTTTTATTATGTTACTTAATAGCATCTTAAAATTAGTTATCACAGATGTACATAGCGTTGTTATCCACACATGCCGTGTACTGGGGAATATGGCAGTTTGTTCTATGCGTTAGCGGTGATTGGCAAAATTGTTCGTTATTTGGGCCACCGGTTACGGCAATTCTACTTGTATTTCTGCTATTTGAAGCTATTCTTTTTGCAATATTCACACTGATTATGTTCAGCACTCAGCTCAGTTCGATATGCAACGATCAGACTAGCATTGAATCACTCAAAAATGAACAATACAATTCCGGTATGTAAACCTATTAGAATATTTGGGAGAAAAGTAAAATTTTTGCAAAGCGCTAAGCAGCTTTTGATGAAAACCAATTTTTCATTACCCGACATGTTATTGGTTAGGTGGTGCATTGTCGGTTACCTCTTGATAAAGAACGATTACTGCGTCATTGTAAAATTTTGTGATGAGTAGACTGGAAGGTATTTCTTGGCAGGGGAGCTACTGTTGAATACGGAAACTCTTATGATGTATATTGCTGATATGATAATAAGTCTATTAAAGATTATTAGCACAGATCTTTCTTAAAATTGAAATTCACCTGGTTACATTAAGCATAAAATTTTCAGGACCAGATGGCTGGAAAAATTTACAAATGATCTTTGGTGGTCCATTTTCGTTTCGATGGTTTAGTCCATTTGCAGTTCCTTATGTTAGTAAACTAACATTTGAGTATTTCGTCTGACATTGGAATCAGTTGCTTCATACATCACGTATCGCTAAAGATTTTGAATCAGAGCTTTAGGTTCCCTTTATTATCATATTGCCAAAATCATTCACTATTTTAAAGATGTGCTTTAATGGACCGTAATATGAAATGATTTGCATTATTAGTTCTAGTTCATGTTATTTATTTTCAGTTAATTGAATACATTATTTCTTGGTTTGCATGCAACATTTTTTTTTAAATACTTGGTATTTTTAGGGACATTAATTCTTTGTTACTGGTCTGTTCTTAATATGGTAGTCATTATGCATTTCTATTTTTCTTTTTAATTAAAATGTTCTATTATTCTAGTTTTGTGTTGATATATATGGAAGGTCCTGCGTAACTTGAGCCGGAGTTTTTTCATTTGTTTGATTTCTGAAATTTACATAGTCTAATTGCAGCTTATGTGCATTGTGAGCCTTCATACGCTTTTTTCTGTGTCTATTCTACTATAGCTGCTGCGAGAAAAAATTTATTTCGTTTTGCAGTATTTGAAAGCCAGCGTGAAATTTCTGTATTTTTATCACATGGGCGATTTAATCTCTTATCATTGTTGATAGGATAAAATTATTTAGGGATTTTCTTTTACCAATTGTAGGATGATCATATTTGATTTTTACTTATTTCTTTGGGTATGAAATTTTTCGAGACAGATTTTCCCAGGCATTATTTTTATTCCTTCAAAATAATGGAATCTTTGTTTTTTCCTATTCATTATAAATGACGGTCTTTAATGAATTTAAAAGATTTCTATGTATCAATAATTGCATGAAGTATTTATTCACGGTGAAGTTGTTTTAGGCAAATGTTTTGCGGGTTTTCGTTTACAAAATCACGATTATGTTGTATTTTTAAGTTTTGAGTTTTGTTTGCGTGACAAATTTGTACAGCTTTGTTTTTTAATTTTGTTTTTAAGTTTTATTGGCACGATTCACATGGCGAATTTGTACATAGCAAGTTCTTCCAATTATTGTTCATTTTAAACTGGTAATATATTATTTAAAAAGTTAATAAAGCTTAACTTACTTCAAAAATTTTGTCAAATTCGTATGATACACATGAAATATTCCGAAGGAAAAGTTTACTAGATGCTTATGTGGTAGATGAAGAGGGGAAAGGGGAAATTGAATATGTTTAAATCAACAGAGCAACCGGAATGCTATGTGTAATGTTGACTGTTTCTCATAAAATTTCTATTCGGGCAAAAGAATAGTTAAATCTTTCTTGAAATTACTGAAATCATTAGAATCTCAGGAACAGAAAGGTGAAGGAGTTGCAGTAAGCGTAGTTACGCGTATAGAATAGTTTTGAAAGCGTTCAGGGTGACTTATGAAGGTGTATTTAACTAGGCATGTATCGATCCTTCCATAACTTCTTCATCGTAGAAGCTGTATCATTTAGCGATCACAAGAAGAACATGAAAATTTATGGGGAATCGAAGTTAAAGCTGGTACCGCTACTACGATATTGAAAAGTGAAGTCCCTTGAAATGTACTTTGTCTACAGCTGACGGACGTCATATATCGTCTTGAATGACACCTACGATGAACAAAATAATCATTCAGCTTGTAATCAAAATAGCAGTATCTTTTTGTGATGAAAATAGTGAATAAGTTTACAGGATTACTGAATCTGAATATTTCAGATACAAAATATCGATTATCATTGGGTGTCGTAATTTATTATTCTTAAATTTTCAGAAGCCGAAAATTTCATTTAATTGATAGTTATGCGCTTATTGTCACAACCAATTGGCAAGCCACCATTTATTGTGGAAAAAATTGTATCGAAATGGTGGAAAGTTTGTATTCTTAGTGAATTACTAGCTGTAGTATATATGTGTACTGTTATAAAACCGGAATATAATGAACGTACGAGAGTTTCCGAGAATGCATTGCTTCCAGCACTTGTTACTGAACGATTCAATTATTATCAGCGAATTTTAACTTTCCTGAAGGAACTTCACATTGAACGGTTATTTATCCTTTTATATTAAATTATTCTAATTAAGCCATTTTTTGCATCCTTTGTGCATCATCACATTGTGATGTCAGGAATGGCAATAACTACCCGGTTATTAGTTATGCTAATGATGGCTAATATTTGATCTATGTTTTAACGATGAATTATTGATTATCAAACTTATTCCGAAAATTTTTAAGCAAGACAAATTGAAATTTGATAAGTGGTTCAAAATAAGATAAGCCTGATAATTCAACTGACTAATGACTGACTTAAGTTTATATTCTTTGTTACCGAATATCCCTTGAATGTTCGGTGATTTCTGGTATTATCATTTATAGGACTGAATCGATCACTTAAATGATATTTGTTATTAAATTACTTCTTTTGCAGTGATATTCCCAAATATATTGAAAAACAATTCTTGGCTCATGGTATTATGGCTCAGACGATGCGGTTTACAGTAACTCTTCCAGGCTCTGTATAATTTTTTTTCTTTTGTGTTAGAAATCATTTCTTTCCGTTATTATAATTTGGTTTGAAATCAGCGATCGAAAATCGGACGAACGGGATTTATTTTTAGTACGGCTATAGGGCTTTGTTCACCAGGAAAAACTTTATATACTAAAATTTTCACCTCTATAAGGAAGATCTGATTTTGTCTACAGTATTAAAAAAATGTGTAATGCATTTTTGCTCTTTTTGAAATCCATACCTGAAAAGTACCATGTGATTGATTAGCTTCTATATATCTTTAAAACGAATGAATAAACTTGTATCTTGGAGAGGAAATTACATTTTCTGCCAGTCTTTCACTTTTCTAGAATCAATCTGGAACGAATGTTGTGGGCGTTGTTCGTGCCAGCCGTTCATCATCAACTGAAGCTATAATTGTGGCCGTGTCAATGACTAAAACAGATTTGGAAGCATTGGCTGTGGTGTTGGCTTTGGCAACTTATTGTCGAGGTGTTGTCTTTTTTTGTATTAATTTTTATGATAATTCCAAATCAGTTTCTATGGTAAAATTAAATGAAATTAGTTTGTATTGAAGTTTACTAAAAATGCATTTTGTTTTCAGAACAGATATATTGGGCTCGTGACATTCAATTCGTTTTCGTAGACAAAGGCCTAATTGGGCTCACAGCATATCTAGCTCAATATCATGATCATCGTCATTCATTCTTGCAATCCGACAAATTACATTTTCATAGCGGTGCGATTGTTGGTGCTTTTGCAGTGAAAGCGAAAGGTTCCGTATTTGACACGATGAACATTGAACACAACATGATCAACGGTTTATTACCAAATTTGGATTTAATCAATTTGATGGCAAAATTAGCGGATAAATTTGGCTTAATTCCCGAAGTTTTCCATCATGGATATCAAAGATCATGGTGGGATATAGCTGGTACAACTAGTAAAGCTATACTCAGTCAGGTACTTCTGTTCTCAAGATTATTTAAATTGCATTTAGTGTTCTGAATGATGTGAACATAGTATATATCATAATTGCGTGTGTTTGGTTTTTCCATTCATTTCTATTTTGCACTTCTATAAATATAATAAGTACAGATATGGAAACTTAATTCAATTTTCAAGTCCAATCGAATTTCAAAAAAACAACTGGTGATATTTTGGTATTTAAAAAATTTTGTTTTAGGCCTTCAATGAGAAAGAAGGATTGCATAGTATGTTTGGACCATACGGAATACAAGCAGTAACTATACATGCTAAAAGTATTATGGAAGGACATGCATCGTTGACAGACTTAGGTCGAATATGTGAAGGAGCATTGAGGTATATTTTTCAGATAAATTAAAATGTATTCTTTTTGTTATTAAGATAGCTTTGAAGTTTTTGGTTTCAAAACAATTGAATTTTCAGTCATTTCGCTGTAACAACTTTAAGATAAAGATTAGTCTTGTTGTAAATCCATAAGCATTTCAATAGTAGTGATAGCGCTTATGCCATTGTAAAGATAGGTATTCACATATATAAGTATCGGCTTTAAAACTGCCATCTTATGATTAACTTTTTTTATTTTAAAATTTTGGACTTTTACAGGTCTCTGAATAACATCCTGGAAAAGCTTCATCAGTCATATTTTCTTTATATAATGACGGATGTGCGACATTTTCTTTCTGTAGCTTATTACATGCCAGCCCTTGGTCTTATTTTGTTTCCACTATTAGTATTAGTAAGTTTATTGTATTGCGTTTTGCATATGCATATGTGTGTCTGTCTGTTTTGTTCGGCCTGTCAAATTCCTTATGAGCTGTTATTTATGAATGTATTCGTAGTGCATCGGTTTCTTGAACTAAATTTTTGCAGATTTTAAAAATTTAAATTATCAAAGATTTGTGAATCCAAAAACTATTTTTTCTCTATTTCGAACTTATAGTAGCTGTCTTTCTACTCTATATTTTTTATGAATGTATTCTTGGTTTCAAGCTATAATCGGAAGTGATTTGTCAAATTATATAGAGTAACACATTTTTCAGTGCTGATTTAATTTTTCAAAAGACATAACAGTGTGCCAAAGAGGACTCAAGATTTTTACACTTCAGCTGATCGATTAAACTCTGCAATCTTTTGGAAGAACAATATTTATTTATTTCAGGCACTTCGTGAATGGTTCAGTCTGGAAGAATTCAGTTTTCCAAATTCATTTATTCTTCTTCATGTCGTTGGAATAGTCCAATATTGTATTATTAGGAATGTTGCTGTGTCACAATTTTATCATACCTATACGGTTTTGCTGTCATTTTCCGTTTTCATTCCGTGGTATTTTCTTTTTTCACTGTAAGTTTTTTTCTGAAAAATTTTTAAAGTTCCAAATCCGTCAACTTACTTACGAAAAAAGACAAAACAATATCTGAAACTACCATTTATTTCATCATGTTGCAGATTAAGGGGACTGAATAGCAGAATATGTCCCACATTTTTTTATATAAACGATATTTCTTTTACATAAATGTTTGGATTATAGAAGCGAGAAAGAATGTATTTCATTGAAATTTCTCTTTTATTTGGATTACTGTCTTATGTTCGCTTCATTATCACTTTTGAACTTCTCACTAGCATATATTATTTCGTTAATTGCCGTACCGTTGATAATACTACTTACAGCGATCAATAACTGTAACCGGTAAGTTTTTAATTCCTAACAGGATTTAATACTTTATAAGAAATAAAAATGATTGGATGGATTTCAACAGTTTTTTGGCAAATTTAAAAAGAGGAAAATAAATGAAATTTTAGTTCTTACTGTGATGTATAGAATTAATTTTGATTATGCAATTCCTAAATTTCAAAAAATCCTGATCGAAGCTAGGATTGTCAAAAGTATACCAGTTTTTTCTTAATGCTTGTTCTTTTCTAGATATATTCACAAAAGTGCTATTTTTCCTTTCGGATTGTCTCAAGCTCTGCGGAAAATTTTATATATCGGTTAAGTTATCGAATTGAAATTTAAAGAATATTTATTTCAGACTTATCTTTCAATTAAAAGCTTTTTTTGGTTTCCTGTTACATCCTTTCGTTATATATTTATTGTGCCGCTATTTGCTCTACGATGTTATGCCAACGGAAGCACACATAAGGCATTTAGCAAAGGATCTCATCAAAAATCATCTTCTATATGGCAGTTTTCTTTTTCCATTTATTTACATTTGCTTGTTACCTTTATGGAATTTCTTAATTTTGATTTCATCCACACCTATAATTCGTCCTTCATCTTAGCTTCGTTTTTCCGTCTAAATACATCAAGGTTTGATGATGAAGTCCATATAAAAAATAAATCTTAATAAAATTTTCAAAAATTTCTTCTCTAAAAAATCATCATTATCGTTTATCTATCTATTTAGTATTTAGCTAAATGATACACTAAATATAGCCATGGAATGATGCACGTTTGATCTGGACTATCTGCCTCCAATTTCAATCCATCACCTTTATCAACGAAATGTTTGAAAGTCATATTTCCATGCTTAAAAATTTCTGTTTTTCAGAATGAGAATTGAAAAAAACGATTAAATTTAATCGTGCTAGAATCATTTTTCTAATAAGCTTCCTTATTAGTACAATTTAATCATCTGGAAGTATTGTTTTATTGATAGTTTTATCTCATTATTTATACATATCACAGTGATTACCACCAGAAACGTAAGTATAATCAGTATTGAAGCTTAAAATGAAATCCAACAATGACCTAAATGGTACTCGACCACCGGTAATATCTAATTGTTGAAGAACGTTGTAAATTTCTTCCCGTGACATTTTCTCACCAACTGATGATAAAATACCAACGAACTCAGATACCGTAATCCAGCCTTGTTTTTTGGAATCAATTCCCCGAAGTGCACCAATAATTTCTTGTATTGGATCACCTTTCTGGTTTTCCTGATGTAATATTTCCAAAAAAGATGGAAAATCTAATTTTTGTCCTGAAATTTGTCTCATTCAAATTTGGAAAATGCTTTTAATAAAGTTTCAAATTATTTCATAATGCTTTGTCGTTTGTTAAAAATTTGTTACACCAACGTAATAAATTTTGAAACAGCTATCCAGAAGACAATATTATTGTTTCAATTATTACCGTATTTACGGAAATATTGTATCGTTTCCGGTATAGTTGGAGTATAACCAAGGCTGCGCATTATATAACGCAAGTGTGATGCATTTTGTGCACATCCTTTAGGACAATATAATGTGAAGCATTGTCGGTATTCTGGAAACAAAATTAATTATTTGTTTGAATTTGAAATTTCGAAATCTTTATTCAATGGTAGTCGTAAATCACTGGTTCCTGCGGGATAAAATTATAAGACAGGAGATAACTGGAATCTCAACATTTCCTTCAATTTAATTAACTTAGTTGTCAGTAGTTTCTTTGCAAAAATTTGACGAGATAACTTACCTTCGATTTGCCATTGAGTGAAGTATTGCGCCTGGAAAAGGAAATTGAATTTTCTCAAAGTTTCATTTTTTTTCTCTAATGTTCATCCAAAGGTGATGATATAGTCTCATGGTTTATCCATTATCCATTTAATAACTCAAAACTACTAAACAGCATGTGATCTTCCCACTAATTCAAATTATCTTTTGACTTGCAGCGATAATATTTAGCATGTACTTAAGCATGTAAGGGTGGCAACAGTGACTTCGAAATTTCAAAACTATTGCTATATCCATTTTAAGAAATCTTCATCAATGGTAATTTGGCTCAAAAGAAACACAAATATTTATGAAATTGTAATAGTGGGACTATTCGAAATTTCGAAAAAATTTGTTAAAATATAAAAAAATGTAGAGAACGTCTACCATTGGCAGATTTGGATCCACCGCACCACAACAATATCAATCCACTAATGTCAATTATTGCTGTCACAAATGTATGCTCTAATTTTGTTAACGAAATGGTCGTGGAAGAGAATGTCTAAGATGACCTTGTCGAACCGATCGATAATTTTTGAAGGGGCAACAAATTCCTCATCAACACGTCATAAGGATTTAACGAAGTATCTACGCGATCCTATCGCTCAATAAATCGAGACAATTATGATTGCAGTCTAAAATAAGCGCAGCTTATTTTAGACTGCAATCATAAATGCCAATCCCATGAATTAATTCAGCAAGGAAAACTCGGAATTTATTTTTGACATAGTGTAACTCTGTCTGAAGGATCAATTGCCAAGCTGTTTGAACGTCAAAGCCTGTCCCATGTTGATATGCAAAAAATTTGAAAGAGGAAAATTTATTTGACACTTTAAATTTCATCCAGATTTCATTAATTTAATTACAAACGATGTATTGACGCATCAGCTCTTAAACTGTCTGCATCTGTCAGCGTTACTTGAGCCTGAAATGATGCATTTTACAGATATTTTAACATATTCTAAGAACTAACTGGTAATGTAAATGAATACTAAATCTCTTCAATGTCTCATTCAAAAAATTGTGCGAGATGACTAGCATTTAATTTTACTTCAGTATCAGGTCGCTCTAACTTTTTGCGCCAGTCTTCTTGGCCAAGACGTGTGGTTGATTCCATATAAACTGAAAATATTAGGTTAAATAGCATGATGAACCAAATACCAAATCTTCAATTAATTTTTAGTGTAACGAAATCCTTTACAGATAACATAAAAGTAATATCAGGATAGAGAGAGCATTCAAAATGGTATCTATATAGTAGTTACATAAATTTACGTACAGAAAGCATACCTATGGAATGTAAGACGAATAAAAACTCACAAATAGAATGCTGTACATAATCCTTCGCCAAATCTTTAGAACGATCTTGACTAAATAAACTATCTTCAGTAAGATTTCGCCTTTTCTCAACCACTTCCTTCAACATCTCGCTCTTTTTCTTTTCTGTCTCGATAATATTACTCATTCTTGCACTGAAGTTTCAAATCATTATACAAACTTTACTTTGCAACAATCAGAATCACCCTAACTTTTGGCATGACTGAAATCATTAAATTCAATATATGAGGAAACCGAGAGTGGTGATGAAGATAAGAAAAAAGATGGAAAAAAAGTTCTATCTTACGAAACAATAATGCACATCTTGAATGCAGAACAGTCATGCCAGAATTCCCCTAACGTGACAGTTATTATATAAAAATAACAAAGAAGTACAAAAATTACTTAATGCCTAGGTCCACTTCCGGAATACCAGCAAGCATTTGGTTAGATAACAGTTCATCATTACGTTCACTCCTGAAGAGGCGAACTTTTTCCGCTGCTTTCCACATAAGGGAATCTTCCATACTTGAAACTTTGGACTGCAATGAGATATTTATTAAATTTATGAAGTTTATTTTGCCATCAAAAATAATTTCTCAGTTCTCCGCAAAACATCTACTCCAACGAGAACGTAAAGCTTCCATGTGTGAGTATTTTTATTCAACGTTATTATAAAAAAGCTAACCGCTGTTGCATCATCATCTTCCAAGTCTTGAACTGCTTTTCGTTTGCGTAATTCCGCTTGCACATACTTTTTCCTGCAAAATAGAACAAGACACTACAGAATCCATCATGCCTAAATCAATAGTATCATGCAAAAATAAAACTAGCGCATTATGAACTCAATACTTCATAAATTGAAAAGAATATGAATTGGCGAAATTATGGCATTTTAAATAAACAACACCCAAAAATGTATGTCAAAGAGAATATGCCTTACATCCCGACCATATCGATTTAATAGATTTCCTCTAAAATAATCATATAATAGGAGACTAGGAAGCTTCAAAATGCAGTTGCGCAAATTGAGAAACGAGTTACACTGGATTATAGAAAGTTTGGGTGGTATTTTGAAATCTTAATTAATTTTTCAACTAAATCAATCCTCGTTTAAAGCGCAACATAGTGGAACAAACTTACATCTCTTCATGCTCATCTCTTAGAAAACTTTCTTTCTTGAACTGATCACGTATGCCAGCTTCGATATCTGCCGCATGCCTATAAATCAAGTAGAAAATAGCTTGAAATCATTTACCAACTCTTCAAAGAGCGACTGTTGTCCATTCTGCTTAATATCCTTGCAACTGTCGCCACATAAGACGAATTCTCCCCATTTTTCAGAAAGCAAACTTTACTGTACAAAATGATTAGTAGCACTTCCAAATGTCTTTAAAATAAGGAACATACTGACAAAAAGCACTTAGGCCTCATATGTTATTTTGAAAAAGAATTATAAAATTGACATTTGAGCCTGGCGTCCTTCGGATAATCGAAGCATGCCCCCGCCACGCTGTCGGAATGGATCATCATCCATTGCTATGAATTCCGCTGCAAGCTCTTTACCCAAAGCGCATTCCACAGCATTCAATCCATTTTTGCGTATACGACTTTCTTGCAATTCCTTCGCGCCTTCTAGTTTACACCTGAATTTCTTTTTTAGCAGAATAAAATAATGAAATTAAGGCCAAAGTCCAAGTTATGCTTCATTTATTCTGTTAAAATGTCGTTTGTGATAACAACTTTTTAGCTTTGCAGCATTATTCTTGATTAGCTTAGATCTTTATGATCACTGATATTTTCATCAACGGGTAAAAATACCAAAAACATTACTGCATTATTTTTTAAGCTTCTTAAACCTAAAACAATTTCCTAAGTGATGACTAAGCATGTGATGAATGCAGCTAGCCTATAAAAGCATGCAGAAGTGGCCTCACATAATTTCTGCTTCCTCCTCCTCTGTGAATTCGTCATCGGCCATACGTTTGCGCAAATGACGTTGTTTCTTCTTGGTTGGTTTTTTGAACAACGACATCTGACACACCTTTTTTTAAAATTCAACTCGAAATGAAATTTTTCCCACTGAAAAAAATGATAATACATAAACATAGGCACGACCAATCTAAGATTGGACTAACTGAAATGCAATCCAGACTTAATTCAGTCCAAACAACTTATCAAATTAATTCGAACTAATAATATTCAATGTAAATGTAATGCATCAATGTTAATTTACGAGCGCATGCGCACGTAGATATCACATAAGCGTAAGCATCAAATAAAATTAATGGACTAGAATAAGGATTCTGATATATATTATCTTCGCGATCGCCTAGAGTACGAGAGTTTTGAAAAATAGAAGGAATAAAATGAAATAAAGTTATGATCGCTAAAAAAAAGAAAGTAGAAACAATAAAGAAACTCCGCTCCCCAACACTTAGTCTATTTAGCAAACTTTGGCCACTCGTCTCCTTTCAAGCCAATTGAGAAAGGGCCAAGTTGCGATGGCTCCGAATTGATCCGATCGGACTTGACTTCGGTCAATGATGTGTGTGGGGAGTGGGAGTGTGGTTTTGATAATTGATCTACCGTAACATGAAGTTGCAGCTTGTCTTAACGTCATTTTGTGGATTGCTTTATGCATGATTTTAAGCATGGTAAACTTGTTTGATTGATATTCGACCTATATCAGTTCAGGAGGATGACTTCGTCGCTGCTAGACCGAGATTTCTCACCGCCGAGTTCGTTTAAAGATACAGGAGCGGGTGATCGATGGCGTGTAAAAGGTGAAAGTTCGGGTAACGAACGTTGGAGATCGAGTAATGACACTGAAAGCGGCGGTGGCGGTAGCGGTGGTGGAAATGGTAATGGTGGTAGTGAACGTTGGCCACGACGTGAAAGTGGAATTGATCGAATGACAGGTGGTCAAAGACGTGCGGGCAGCCGTGAACGTAGCCCACGAAGACTCCGCGATAGAGGTGAGTTTGCAAATTTATATGGGATTTTGAACTAGATTTGAGGATGTAATGTTAGAGAATGCAGGTTTCCACTTGATTGAACTTCGGAATTGAAGTTACTTTTGCGCTATTACCTCTTTTTCCTCAGATGTATTTGTAAATCTACTATTTAATTAGTGGAAAGCTTATGATGTACTAAAGACCATTTCGAAAATTTTTCTTGTCTCTAGATTTCATAGTGTTTGCTATATTATCAATAGAAGTCGCCACAATTACGTACCATGTAACTTGCATGCGTTGCACTGCTAGTTGATTCACCTTTGGATCGCCATCTTATCTTTTTTATGGCTATAGCGGCGTAGATATTACGTGATCTGCATTGTTTCACATCCGACACTTCTCATTTTCAGTCGGCGGTATCAAAAGAAAATTTTGAAATTTATTTATTTGTTTAGAGAAATATCATAACTTCGGATACTCCTCTTCTGGGACAGATCATTACACTTAAATGTTGAGAATACAATGATGTAATTCCCTGATCCTGAAATTTGTTTTGCGCTCATAAGTCGCTGATTGTTTCATCAATATTTCTGGATAGTTGCTTTTTCATCATTGAAATCTTCGGCCATCTTCTCATTTAATACTGTTTCACTCATATATCTGTGAGACGGTCAGATCACGTTGGACATTTTTTGGCATAAATTTAGATGGTCGTCGAGGCGGCGCCGGTGGCGTACGCAATGACCGAATGGTTTACATCGCAAATATTCCATACGATGTACGTTGGATGGAACTAAAAGATTTGGTTCGAGAAAAAGCTGGTGAGGTATGATCTGTTTTCTAGCTTGACTTTGACTTTTGTGGTTTTCACTTATTTGCAACTGTGTACAGAGGCATAATTTTGATTATGATTGCGCACGTAAGTGCAGCTGGTGATATGCATGGAACTGCAGCAAAGTTACACTTGGAGGCTGTTGTCGATGTTTCCTGATTTCGATTTTTTCGGGATATCGTGAGATTGAAATTTTGAGAACTTTTATTGGGTTTTTGATTAGTTTCGAATTTACCTGGATATCCGTTTTCCTGGTTCTCTTGAATGATATCGTCTGGTTGGACTTGGTCTTTTTCTTGTAGTAATCAAATTGTTCTTCCTTGTAGTATTTTGTAATATGTTTCTTGCAATACTTAACTGGATACCCCCTGTTAGATGCCTGGATAGTCCAATCATTCAATATAGCACATTTCACTCGTTGGTGACGTGACCGTGCTGGACATGGTCGCACAAGCGATCCTTTGAGATGTTCGCGAATCGGTCATAAGGACAAATTTAATTCATTGATGTGGGTAGTCGCTGGTTCTGGTGATCGAGCTAATGAACCACGTGTCTTTTCGGCTTGTTTCAATCTTTTGAAAGAGTGTCGCTCAATACTACTATGCTATTATTCACTGAATTATTGCACGTTATGTGGTGGCTAGGTCAATTTAATAAAGTATTAATGAAGTAGATAAGTAGAAGATTCTCACCTTTGAAGTAATTTAAAATGCCCCTTTATCATTTAGGTTAATTTTGTGGAGCTTTTGGAAGACCGTAAAGGAAAGTCAAAAGGCGCAGCAGTTGTTGAGTTTCGAGAAAAAGAATCGGTTCAGCGTTGTGTTGATGCTTTGCACCGTTACCCGATGAATGATCGTCTGCTTACAGCAAAGGAAATTCGAGTAAATATTTTGTGACCGATACATAGTTCTTAGTTCATCTCATAATTTTTCATCCGCTTCCTAAAATATCTAATTTCATTGGTGGATAACATTCACCGCTTTATATACACGTTACTATATCTGTATCCTTGGCTGGCGACGTTGTTGTAAAAGGATAAGGTGCTATAAGTTTTAATTTTCCCTTCCTTTTATCCTTTATCTTTCTGCTCTACCTGAAAACATATGCCTTTGTTAGTCGTTAACCGAACTGTTCCTCCGTTTTTATTTAGTCAATAATCGATCAATTCATCAAACTTAAACTGCCGTTATTGGTTCTTTTTTTCTATTGATACCTTACTGAGTCCTTTTCTTGGGTAATGTCGCAGTTAGGATGTCGGTATTAATCAATAATCACTCTGCACTTAAAATTTCGTGAAGCAGTTGATTTATTATTTACTGCGCACTGTTCTGTAAATTGTTGACTCCTTTCTCGTCTCAAATTTATGAAATGAACATATGTTCAGGATCCCGTTGCATTTTTCCGAAAAGTTAAGGAAGACACAGGTGTTGATTTTTTAAACGGTCTTCATGGAGGAACTGCTGCTGCGAGTTTGGATACTCGTAACCGTCAGGAAGAGCAGTTTGAAACATATGGCCTTAGTCCAGCATTTCTCCGACAACTTCATATTACGGGGCCATTGACCAACCGTGTTTTTGTGTCGAACGTTAGTTTCAAGTGTTATTTGACAGCGCTTCTCATACGTAGACTCTCAACACACTTTGGATTCTCATCCTCCATCTCAGGATTCATATTTTCGAAGTCATATTTTTTGCTTTGTGTTTTTAGTATTTTCAAAGAAATATTCAAATTTAGCTTCCGTACAACGTACAAAGTGGACGAGTGACAGATTATTTCTCATTGGCCGGTAAAGTTACCTGGGTTGATCTTCAATTAGACAAAGAAGGTCGCAGTAAGGGCATGGCTGTCGTGCAGTTTACTCATCCGATCGAAGCAGTGCAAGCCATTTCAATGCTGAATAATCAACGTGTTTTTGACCGTCAAATCAATGTGAAAATGGATAAATTTGATCCTATTGACGACCGGAAAGAAGGCGAATTGCCTGTGGGTTTACGTGGAGTTGGCATGGGTCTAGGCGCAAATGGAGCGCCACTGGGTGATGTCTCTTCAATAATTTCTTCGCTCACCTCCTCGACAACATCCCATAATTCCTATGATAACACATCAACTTCATATACCAATCAATCCGCTTATCAGAGTGGTCCAGTATCGGGCCTTCAGCCAAGTAGCATTTCTTCGGTTATGCCATTTTCGTCTACTTATACATCGTCATCTGCATCTCTCTCAGCTTCCAATTCTGCATATTCTACATTCGGTGGTGTTGGTGGTTTCGGTGGTTCGCGTTCGATAATAATCAAAAATGTGAGTTCTTGCCTTTTGCTAGATTTCAGCAAAAGAACTAATGGTTTGATTGGCCACTGTAATATTCCGAAGTAACATCTATTTCGACTGTTTTTCGACGAAGTATTATGCAGTATAATTCTTCCCGTGGTTCACTGAGTTATGTATGAAATATATTAAAAATGAGACTATCATCAGCATTTAGTAGCACATCACAACCACTGCTTTCAGCTTCCTTTGGATTACACATGGCAGGTTGTGCGTGACCGTGTTCAGCAATTTGGTCCAGTAGATTTGACGGAAATGATTGCGCCAGGGTGTGCTAAAGTTACCTTTACTGTAGCTGCGGACGCGGAACGTGCCCGTAAATCTCTTCAAAATACTACTGTTGAAGGACGTGTTATTGGAGTCGAATTCTTAGCCTGAAGAGTGATTTCTACTTTGAAAAAGTAGCTGCGTTTTTGATATTGTGTTTCGTCCATTTCATCTTTGAATTTCAATTCTGGATATTGAGGATGATCACTTTGTCATTGTCAGGAAATATTTTTCGAAATGAAGGGATACGACGGTCTCGTTAAGTAGATAAATTAGTATTTAAATGATTATTTTGAGAGGTGATAACACTCTATGTCCTTTTTTATTACGTTTTACTGTTTAACGCATCTTTAAAGGAACGTTTCAAGTTGTCTTCATATTCATCATATTTTTACAAAATCGTTTAAGCAATTTGGTAATATTTTTCTGAACAATTTATCAAGTTTGTAATAAGCTCGTTTAATTTTCTTTTCACATTTTCCAAAGGAGATGTTGTTGTTAGTCTTCGATTTTTGGATCTGAGTCTTATTTTGAAAGAAATTTGTAATAAGAAGTATGTTTTTGTTTCTTCTTAGAAGAGCTTAAGATTTTGTGTCTGAGATGAAGTGACTTAGTCCAATGATCATCGACCTCATTCGTATTCATTATAAC